GGGGGTGGGACAGCAAAGGCCTGAACAATAGGTGGAGATAGAACCCGGAGAAAGAGAAAACAGTAGTTGGGGAGACAAAAAAGGGATAGATAGTGGTGAGCCGGGGAGAAAGAAAAGCTGATAATGGGGACTGCAAGCAGGTGAAAATGGATTGGCTGTGCTGAAAGCAGCCCATAAAAGGGAGCATAGGATGGGCAAAGGACGTGGAAGGTAGTGTCCAAGCCCAAAAAATTACTGAACTCAAAATTCAATCCTGAAGACTGTAGAGTTCCCAATCAGAAAATGAGATGCTGTTCTTCCAGCTCGTGCTGAACCTTACTGGAGCACTGCAGCAAGCCCAAGACAGATGGTAGCCAGGGAATATGGCGGTGTGTTGAAGTGGCAAGCAACAGGAAGTTCAAAGTCACTTTTGGAGGCCAAACGTCTGTATTTTGCAAAGTGGTCTGCATTTCATTGCCCCAGTGTAGAGGAGACCACATTGGTGAGTGGCAAATGCCATTGACTAGAGTCAGTGACTGGGAATAAATATTAGCCTGGTTAATGATTGCCACCAAGAATTATTGCCTTTTTGAATATTTCTGCTGCTCATGACGTCCGACAACAAAACAGCTATTGGTCAAACCTCTTCCTCTACGAGAGATCAGAGATCCATTGGCATGGCAGCTTAACACCCGTTGCCATCTCTCACCATTTGCACTCCTCATGCTCTCGTAAAGTGACACACAAGGAGCGTGAAGGAAAAGACTCAAAAAAAAAAAAAAAAAAAAAAAAAAAAAAAGAATTCTCATTCCCTACACCTTCCATCAGCCAGAAAGAAATCGCAGCTTCAAGTCTGGTAAATGTCAGCATTACATGGAAGACAAAACGAGCAAAGGACACACCTAGGTCAACATGGGATGGAAGTGGCAAACGAAGCAATGCCATGATGAATGAAAATAAACTAACGTCGTAAGTGCTGGCAAAGACTGACAAACAGACCAGCTCAGCTAGTCAATACTGTATGTAAAAGAACATTAGTCTGAAAAAGGGGGAAATCTGGCATAACGACAAGATGAAATGCAGCTTACGTCTAGCACTAGCATAAAACCTTCATAGAATCAGAATTCTTACATTGTGGAAGCAGGCCTTTCAGCCCATTGAGTCCACACCAATGGTCCGAAGAGCATCCTACCTAGACTCACCCCCTACCTTATCACCCTGCATTTCTCATAGCTAACTCGTCTAACCTGCACATCCTGGACACTAGTTAATTTAGCATGGCCAATCCACCTAACCTGCACATCTTTCGACTGTGGGAGGAAACCAGAGCATCCAGGAGAAAACCACACAGACATGGGAACAATGTGCAAACTCCACACACAGACAGTCACCCGACACTGGAATCGAACCCAGATTCCTAGTGCTGCGAGACAGCAGTGCTAAGCACTGAGCCACCATGCCACCTCATTTTGGTGCCCACTGCGCTCCTCAAGGAACCACCAATACCAGAGTCTGACTCCACATCCTGGGAAGGCTTTGCAAAATATATCCTATTATTCATCATTCTGCTACTCTAGGTCCAACATTCTCAGGCCTTTAAAACTCAGGAATGTTGCCAATTATGAAATTCTGAACACAATTTGCAGGCTGGACATCAAGCAATGTTATCTTCAGGTCGTCTTGCATATACTTTTCAACCTGAAACAGCTCTGCAGCATTTACACTGCACTCTGAATTTGAATTTCTGAATGATTTGTGATCCAGGTACACAGATTGTTAAAACATTATGAAAAAGCTAACAGAATGCTGTCTTTCATATCTACAGGACTAGAATACCCCAAGGCAGAAGTCACAATTCATCCAGATCCTGATCAAATAAAACTGTCAGCAATTTGGGGCAATATACCATGATTGAGTTGGAGGAAACTCATTGTAGAGTTAAAGAGAACAATACCAGAACTCCAAGCATTAAACTGGGAGGAGAGATTTTACAAACCAGGGTAGTATTTCTTGGGATTTAGAAGACCATGAGGTGAACTGATCAAAACTTTCAAAGTATAAAAGGGAAAGATTTAAGAGTAAATTGGTAAAATCCATTTCTGCTAGTCTGGAGTCTAAGAAAAAAATAAGCCAGGCTTTTTGGGACCAAATTAGGAAAATAAGATAGAAAACTCAGTTCAGAAGGGTCACTGGACTTGAAACATGAACTCGGCTTTCTCTCCGCAGATGCTGCCAGATGTACTGAGTTTCTCCAACAATTTGTTTTTTGTTTCAGATTCCCAGCATCCGTGGTTCTTTGTTTTATCAAATTAAGAAATATTGGTTCATACAAAAGGAGCATTAGAAGTTTGGAACCGTCTTCTCAAAATGGCAACTGTTCATGGCATTCTTGTTAATCTTAAAACCGAGATTGATCGCTATTGAGAGTTACTGGGCAAAATCCGAGACGGATTTGTGACCTCTGCCCTCTCCTGTTGAATGGCATTACAGGTTTGATGACCGAACTCCAACCATGCACCTAAGGAGGTTGAGAACGTGTTGAACAAATGTAGGCTTAATATCTTACCAATTGACCCTCTAGTATTCTCATCATTCAAAGAACCAAATGCTATCGTTGGCAGTAAGCAGATGCAGTACAGAAACAGGATGGTGGTGATGTACTTCCTAATGGATTTATTCTTACCAATGATACCTGTGGTAGAAGAAACAAAGGGCAGACCTCAATACAGATGTTTCCAAACAAGGCAGCACCGACACATTCAAAACCCAACACGTCATTAAAATAATGTCGGCATCTCTCAAACTCAATCATATTAGGGTCCAGCACTCCAAAAAGGTTGAAAGTGGTTTAATATTAAAGTGTCACTGGACCAGTAAATCCCAAGGTCCAAGCTTATTCTCAACGTTAAAATGAGAAAATGATAGACAAAGGTATCAAGAACAACTCAACAGAAACCTCTGCATCATTTTTTGTCAAATGTGCTTTTTTTTTTATTTGGCGCATGGCTCAGCACAGAAGAGAGAGGGGAATAAACAATTTGCATTTAGATAGCACCTTATCAGCTTCTAAAAAAAATCCCAAAAGGCGCTTTCTCGGAAGTACAACCGCACAAAAAGGTTTTGCTCTGAAGCCGCACTGTTGTGCCGGGAGATGTAATCAAGGAGCATCTTTAAAAATAAAAAGGAAGAGGTACAGCATTTTCAGGAGCAAATTCCTTAACTTAGAGCCTCAATGGTGCCAAAAGTAAAATGTAAAAAGAAAGCAAATTTGGGTGGGGATGGGGTAAACAAGATGATGGATACAGGAGTTGGAGGTTGTGCAAGGTAGAAAGGGAAGTGGAGTGGACAGCACTACCAGATTAGCTCTATCTTAATAGTGGAGTTGGTTGAAAATAAGAAATTGGACAAGGCCATTTGACAAGTCCTGACATCCCTGAAGATGGACGATCTTAGCAATCAGCTTGAAATCTTCAGGGCAATGATATCCAAAAACAAATATAGACAAAAAAATAAATAAATAAAATTTAAAAAAAAGGTGTGTTGAAACATAATTTTGAAATTCTTTGACTTATTTTTGAAACATGCATCATTAGAGCCAAAATAGAAATCAGAATTTATTGGACATAACAAATCACAGTCAGCATGATTGGTAAAAAGATCATGATCTAATGGATTTCTCTTCAAAAGCTGAGACACCAAATGATTGCCAGCATTGCTTCTCAGGTTTCAGATTTATAACTTCTTCCTTTTTTATTTAATGTTGTTACAAGTAATTTAGCACCTGCATTAATGCCACCATAAATAATACAAACAAACAATTTCTAGGTTGTTTGGCTACCTAATTAAGATTGGTGATATATTAATTTCCCTGTAATTTTTATGACCTTCTCCATAGTAACAATAGCTCAGGATTCACTGGGGCAATAAGAAATGAGTTTGATGTGCTGACCATTATTCGTGACAAATAACTGAGCAACTTATGGTGAGTGGTTTTGAGAGTCACAAATTGCTGCCCAATTTGTTCCATTCTGATGTTGGCCTCACCAAACACAAGAACTCAAAATCTTGCCGCGTTGAGATTAAACTCCCTGCAGAAAGAGAAAGCTGGAACTAAAATCTTTTAATAGGAGGGCAGGGTTTTATTCTTTGTCTTACTCAATTGTACAGCCCAAGGAGGAGACAAAAAAAGTGCACACTCTTTTCCCAAATTTTACTTCCTGGCTTTTTACACCTTGTCTAATCTTTCTATTGTTTATCTAATTGTAAATCTTCCTGCTTTTTCTTAATCTCTAACCCACATTCGGTTAGGAAATGAAGCCAGCTGGGCATTTACGGGGTTTACTACACAGAGAGATAGCAAGGGCTGAATGGCCTGAAAGGGTCCCTTTTGTTTGTGTATGACACCATGGTAACAGATGGCTGACATCTCCAGCAACTTGCAGTAAAACCAGTTGAGTTGAAGGGTGAGGCAAAGTAAAATTCAGCTCATGGATCCCACTGTGGGACACCAGGCGCCAGAAGATTCTGGCCCATCATTTCCTCATGATGCCGAGGTCAGAACTGATGCCAATGCTCGTGGGCTTCCCCTGGCTTTTTGGAAGAGGGTTCACAGAAATAATGGGACGCGAGATCAATGATTGCCAAGCTCAGGAACGTTACGGAATGATGTTCGGGAGACAGAAGCCCAAGACATGGATTGGGACACCTCACGGTTGCTGCATAAAATATCCCAAATGGACTTCCCAGGGAGGAAGTGGAGTGAGACAACATTAACATGGCAAGACCAGCAGAATTAGATTGTCAGGGAGTTACGACAGGAAGAAATAAAAACCTTCTGATTCGTGCAACACTTTTCAGGTGCTCTAAAACTGCTAAAGAAATTCACTTTATGGTTTAGGAGTTCAATAAATCATTTTTTTTTGGCCAATAAATGAAGTCAATAATGTGGTCAACAAGGTCCCTCAAAAACTGAGATAGATGAGGGGTGACGTTTGTCCAGAAGAATGCCAGACAATGCCTGGGGTTAATGGTCTTATGTCGAAGGTAACATCTCTGACTTTCTTTTTCCCCTATTCATTCACAGGATGCGAGTATCACTAGCCAGATCGACATTTATTGTGCATTCTTAATTGGCTAGAGGGCATCCCATATAACCGAGAGTCTGGGGTCATGCGCAAGCCAGACTACGTGAGGTCAGCAGTTCCTTCCTTAAAGGATATGGACAAGAATAAACAACTAATTGATAATAGTTTCATGGCCATCATTAGACTTTCAATGCCAAACGTTTATTGACTTCAATGGTGTCATTCAAATGTGGGTCCCCAGGACATTAGTTAGCTCTCTGGATTAAGTTGACAAGTGGTAATACCACTAGGCCATTGCCTGTACACCCTGTAGTGAGAAATTGATTGTCATGAAGGGGTTAGCTGCCAACAATTGAGACCCGCCCACTAGTATACATATAACTGACTCTGGATGGAGCTAGTTAATCTGCAGAGACTGTAGTCTGTAAACATGTAATTTAGACCTAGCACCCACTTCAGCAATGCAGAATTACTTACTTTTTAATGTAGTGAATATATCTAGTTTTACTCTACTGTAACTTGCTATCTCATAATACAATACCTACTTCTCGCTGCTCAGAAAGTCAAGCTTTCCAAATGGTCACCCATTTAACATTAGTAAGATTTAGATTAGCAGTAGGAGGAAGATTAGTGCCAGCTTTGTAAACCCAAGATCCTCAGACATCTTTAAAAAAGGTGGACATCTGGCAAAGATTGCCCCGACAACAAAAAACATGCCAGACACCAACACCTCTTGCAACACGGCCCTCCCTTACAATGTTGGACTGAGAAAACATCAGCCCAGCTTGGAGCTCACACCTAGAATGGGGCTCAGAGGCAACAGTGAATCCTGAAGCACAGGTAAAACAGACACCTTAAAAATGTAAGATAACAAGGTGTAGAGCTGGATGAACACAGCAGGCCAAACAGCATCAGAGGAGCAGGA